AATCTTGCCCAGGCTTTTGTAGATGGTTCGGTGATCTCTGCCGAACAGGAGCTGGAGCCATCTGCGATGGAAAGTTCTTCATAGTTGCTCTGGAGAGTGTGGTCACTGCTCCAGCTTGCTGCAGGTCCTGAGCCTCTCTCCTTCTTCACTGGGCAGTTTCTAGTGAATTTAGTCACAGCAAAACCTGCAGCCGAGCCAGAGATCGGCTCGGCCCAGCCCGGGCCCGGAGAAAACCTTCCCCAGGCCCCCCCATCTCCTGGCCGGGAGACGGGGCAGGCCCGGCCCCATCCCCGCCCGTCCGCATGGCCTGGGCAGGGACGGGAGGCCTGGAGCTCCGCCACCTTCCACAGCCAGAAAACAAAGAGAACCCAGAGAGCTCTGCTTTTACACTTTAAGGTAGGGTTCACAAGTTGATCCCACTTTTCAATGGCCTAAACTACTGTCAATTCTCAGCAATGACCGATAATTGGTCAGGAGAAAAAACTCCAGGCAGTTCCCAGCAACTCCAACTTTCCTTAAAGGTAAAGTAACTCCATGACACCTTCAAATAAATCATCTTTGTAAACCAAGTACAAACCACCATCATACATGGTAATTCAAGAAAGTCCTTTTACATCCAGAAATGATTGCTACTAACAGGCCTCCTTAGTGTAATTATTTTCCATAACATCTCTGTTTATTTGCACTTTGCAACAGATCAAATTTATGATGAAGTAACAATTCACAGGAGTTTTATTTTATTTTTTCTATGTAAACAGACAGTAGGATGCTGAAAACCTACCATGGTCGTCTTCTGAAAAAGGAGGACAGAGACTTTTCTATATTAACATGCATTCGTGTCATGGGATTCTGCACTAGCATTATACTTTCCATGACAGGTGACATTGTAATAAGAAACTTCAGTGAAATTTGTAAATTCTTAGACAGAGCTCGATATAAAAGACTGGTGCATATTACAGAAGTATATGATTTTTTTCTGTAAGTTAATAGCTGGGAGATATGTATTGAAAGTGTCATCTAGTATTCACAGACTGAATTTGGCATTTTTCTGACTATTAGATTTCCTTACTTACTAGTTTTGATTGAAAGGATAATTTTCCCCAAATTATACTCTCCGCTTTTATATTTTTCAGCTTCAGGCTCATACTGAAATTCATTTTATATAAGGAATCAAATTGTACTGAATTGAAAAGTCATAAAAATCTAAAAAATTCTTTGCATTTATAAAAGTATCACACATTTAGATACAATTTTTTTCAACTCCTTGAGGACTCAGAGAAATTGCTGTCATATTTGAGAAAGCTCTGAATCTCTCTCTGTTTTTTAATAGGATAAAACACACTTGTAGAACGATAAAATGAGAGCCCTTGAATATATGTAATATACACTACAAGTCATTAGTTTGAAAAGTGTCTGCCACTGATGGAGGGCTGTAACTTTGCTATCTATAATAATTTTCCCCATTGTTCTGACAGACTTAATCTACTCACATCTGATATGGGAGCAATATCAGAAAAGATAGGTATCAAGAAACACAGCAAATTAAAGAAAACTATATGCAAACATTCAATTTAGCTGTCTGTCATCTGTCTGATAGCAGTTAATTTACTGTCTATGTGTTACAGAGCAGATAACAACACATCCTGTGCAGTCTGATGCATTTTTGGGGCAGAATCCAAGAGTGTCATCACTAGAGAATGTGCCCTTTCCAGAACTGCCAATAAAATAATACATACACAGAAACCATCTGAACATGTAAACAAACATGGTAGTGTTTTTGCAGGGAATTGAGGGAGGATTCTGTCTGATTACGACATTGTTTGTTGGTAGTGCTCTGTTGAAGTCATGGATGGAAGCAATTATGGACCACAGCTTCTGAGAAATATGTTCTTTTCCTTCTTAGGCAAAATTTCCTTGTATCTGTGGAAGTTTGGATGAAAAAACAAAGTATGTAAAGGTAGTTATAATTAGTTCAAATATCACTGCTGACTACAAAGAAAGTCTTTTTTCTCTGGCTGCTTACCTGAGATGAGAAAAGTGACTGTATGTGAATGAAAAGAGTATTTCTAGCTTGATCGTTTTTATCTGGAAGATTTTACAGATTTTATTTACTGGAATTTTTTTATTTTTTTTTTTAATGAGTGTTGGAATTAAATACAAACCTTATAAACTTTTTCTGGGTAAAATTTGAGAACATCTACAAAACTATGTAGGATACTGCCTCCTACTTCAGCTAGATGCTGCTACTTGCATGTACTGATGCTTGTGCCCCTGCTTTGGTCCTGCTTACCTTACCAGTACTAGATCTTATAAGGTATAGTGGTAGCATCTACTCTCAGTGCTTTGCTGTCATTACATGTCTTGCACATCCAGAATTCCAGAACGGTAGAAAATTTTCTACATTGCCTCTCTGCCATGAATAACAGCACTTAAGTCTCAGTGAGGTCACAGAGAGCTTGTAAACAAGATTAGGTACAACAACTTTGCTTGAAGGGGATGCCTCTGAAACACAAATATCCTGTCAGTATTCCTTTCATCTCTCAGCTTGCTTCTTTCAGCTCCTTATTCTGTCCTTTTCACCCTAACATGAAAATCCTAGCCAAAAATTGTTGCTTCGCAAAAATTAGCCCGATAATGAGAATCACTACAAGAAATGATCCAGACAGCTCTTGGTGCTATGACAATTTGTGTGTGCAGAAGGCAAATATTCAAATCCCAACTTCCTTTCAGCATTTCCTCAATAAGTCACTGGAACCTGCAGTATCTATCTTCTCCTTATTTTTGCATGCAATATTTCACAATCACATGCACAGTGACCTAGTAGAAAATATTTACCATAAGACCCTCCTCCATGCACTGGAGTATGAATTTCCTGCTGCTCATCCACATCTCTGCTGCATATCAGAAGACATATGGCACTCATGATGCTTTTTGCCTGGGTAGTATTTTCCAAAATTGCCTACTTATCTTTTCTCTGCACAATGTTTCTTACTTCTTATATGTGTGAAGGGAATTCATTACTCCCAAATTCCCAGATTTGAATCAATGTTGCATTTTGCAAGGATTTTGGCAGACTTTATCATCTTGGCCTGCTAAAAGGAAAGGTGGCTTAAATAATTATCTCCTTTCCATTTTTTTCTTTATCTGCTTTTCTATTTTTAGGTTTTTGTTACTGGATTTCCTGTTTCTATGGATTTTTTTTTCTAACCCTTCCCGCTTCATCTCCTCTAAAAGGAGGAGAAGACCCTTTTCACTAAATCCTATAATTCTCACTGCTTTTGTCACCACTTTCTCCTGGTTAGTTACTTCACACCCCTGCTCTAATATCTTCTTTCAGTTTGTTATTTTGCAGTCTTCTTTTCAGACCAACTATAGCATCTTAGTCAAAAATCTTCACTTTCTATTTGCCTGCAGTGGTGTCTTGTTCTTCAACTTCCATTAGTACTTTTGGGCTTGGTTTTTAGCTCTCTTTCAAAGCTCACCTTCACTCTGATTTGTGAATCACTTTTCTCCTCTTCTTCTCCTCGTGAGAAACCCTGTTCTTCATGGAGAATTCAATTCCTGTTAAGCAAGGAAAAGAAGCTGTGGATAATATGGTGGTCCCTATGAGTAATAATGAAGGAAGGTTATCCCCTTTCACATATACAGAGAAACTACAGGGTCAAACACAATTGAAAATTATGACATTTGCTACTTTGGAAAAAATTACAGTGAAGGCAGAGAAAAAGGTGGGGTGGAATTCTCCCAAGGTTTAAACATGCAGGCATTACCATGTATGTATTTTTGCATATCTTGTACATATCTCTAGCTCTTCCCCTGCTGGCATACAAGGTAGCCCTTTTCTCCATGTGTCTCAGTTCACAGGGCAATTTGAATTTTTACTTTTACAAACTGCAAAGGCAAGAGTGGTGAAGACATAAGGTTGTTCAACCCTGAAGCCACTAACTGCCAATCTAATTAAAACAAAGCTCTAAGACATGCAATAAACATGTGGTGGCTCTGTTGTAGCAGTATTTGAAATGCAATGCAGGATTAAGGTTATGAGGAAAAGGGAAATATTTCTAAGGTTTCTTGGCATTTTTAGCAGAAACTGAACTTGGAGCAAAAGAAAGAGATCTTTCCGGTTTAATGTAAGATGTTGAATGTTCAACCTACAATTAAGAAAAGAAATCACAGTGAGGAGGTACATGAGGACTTAAAAAATTATGGCTCTGAATTGTCATACTATGTGGAATATCAATAATACTGACAACTAATGCATGTATGCTCCTGCATATAGATACATAAGTGCATGTTCACAGATTAATGATATTCAGACTTAGCCTTGATTGGTTGGTTGATGGCTTATTGAAATGAACACTGCATTTTTTATAATCAAAATTTCAAATATGGGATGCAAAGAAGGTTTTGAATCAGTCTGTGGGAAAAATTAGTTTTGCTGTTTTGCAGGTTTTAGTTCAGTTTTGTTGAACCCAGTTTAGTTCATGTTGCTGTTATGAGGAAATGATTGTTTATATCTCTCATCTTGTGTGTATTGGAAAATTGGCAGCACTACCTTGTAATTCATCACTTATTGTGAGTCAGGGGACAATGCAATTTCAACTTCAGGGCAAAGGATTATACAGAGTCATAAAAGTAAAATATCACATCCCTCTGAGCTGAATCAACCTAATAACAGAGGTCTTACACAAACTTTGCAATAATATGCAGCAGAATTAGCGGATTCTCATAGCCATTAAGCTGTATAAAAGATTTTTTTTCTCTTATCTGTTTAGATTTTATTCAGCCAGCTGATGAGTCACGATCAGAAACATCCCCTGTGAAAAGAAGGCTTTCTGAGAGAGCAGTGCTTAGTGATGGGAAATGGAACTAACTTAGCTATTTTTTATTTTAAGTTGCTGTGTGTTTACATTCAACTCCACACAGTGACAAAGGCAAGATACAGTATGCTGCAATGACACTGCACTTTAAAATTCACAAAGCAATTATGCAGTACTTGTATTATCTGCAAACTGTTCAGTGGGAATGCAGTCAAAGGTTCACCCTGTCCATGTAATTAGCCCACTCAAGAGCAAGGGTTTGGTACATTTCAAAGGCCAGTTGCCAGTTTTTCAATGCATTACCCATCACATAATTTTCATAAACTTGAAAATATTTCAAGTCCCTAAGGAAAGAGGGACTTGAATATTAAGACACAACAAGCAGTCTGTCTTGAACCTTGTATTTTCTATCTCGGCATGGGTGACCAGCTGGTTTGGGAAGCACAGAACTTACTGCTCCCTCATCTGAATGGCATATTAATGTTGTAAACTACTTGATTATTTGTCATGAGCTAATTATAGTCTACTGACGTAGATGTCAGTTGCTTAATAAATGTGAATTCTATTCAATTTAATCTTTGATTATGATTGAATATTAAATATTCAATTTTGATTATCAATTGTTTAAAGGAAAGAACAATATCTTTCTACAATGTTTATGTTGTTAACCATTAGTAGGTTCTGGCAAGTACCAACAGTTCAAATGAATGAAGGTTCTGAGATATGAATAGATAATATTCAAGCCCATGACAATTATGGCTCAGGAAATGTGAATTACAGGCAGATTTTAAGTTCTCTCTTTAATGATGCATATGACAATAGAAACAATATTGTTACTTAGCTCTGGCAAATCTAGTAAGAATCTCATGTCTGGAAAAGAGATTACACAACTCCTTTTCATATTGTTTCCTTTAGGTGAAGGAAAAAAGTTTAATTCTGTTCTAATTGTTTTTGTCTCGCTTTCTATGCTAAGTGGAAATAGAAATTACGAGAACTGTTTTCTTCCTGCAAACATGGTATACCATTTCTTACTTTACATATTGGTAGTGTTAGTAGAAGAAATCCAACATCCTCTCCACCAGCATGAAAAGTAAGTTTATTTCCTTCTCATTCACTGTCCCTGCAAAGCTAATAGTAAAGGATAGAAATACATATTTTAAAAACCCCTTATCTTTCATCCTATAACATTTTCTCAGCAGATCTCATCACATACATGTAACAAAGAAGTTACTTAAATTATTTTTATAATTAATTATTATATTTTCTATTTATTTTTGAAACCATTGTTGTTCTTAGTAGAGTTTTGAAGATTTTGGTAAAAGATTTTATCTCTCTTTCACCCATACCTGACATTCATAGGAATGTTTTATGGAGGAGGGGACAAAGGAGTACCCTGGCGCCCTCCTGCTCTCTGTGTAGCTCTTGTCAGTGCTTTCTGAGCCTCTATTAAGAAACAGCTGAACTTGGCTAAACCTGCAAGGTTTTAGCAACCTCTTTCTTGGAGTTAGCCATTAAGCTGAGGAAGAGCTTGGCCACTGGGGAGAAATAACAACCTCTGTGTACATGTACCTATGTGCCCCTATGCATAATAAAGAACTTGGCATAAAAAACCCCTCCACACGTTTCCTCTATCTCTCAAGTGCATGCAAAGCTATCTCTGAGACAGAAAGTCTCTAGGCTGCATTAACATGTTTAAGTCATCCTGTCACTATGGAAAAGAAACAGGCAAGCAAAGGCCTCTTCTGTTTTGTCACAAAAGCACAAGGCATTGAGTATGCTGGTGGAAATTACCATAACTGCATATTACTGAGCCAAAAATAACAGAAATGCTCCATTTTACATCCCATCTGACTTTAATATAAGCAGCTCAGGTTTCTGTAGGGATTATACCTTGTTTAGTCTCTGATAAAAAAATAGTATTTAAGTAAATAGTAACCAGAAGGATGTCGATCAGTTTTACCATAAAATAGTGCATGGCAAGCTAAATCAGGAAAGTCTTTGCTGCTCGCTGAAAACTCTGGCCTACTTTTCATGATTTTTCTTGTTAGTAAAGTCATGATTGAATCAATCTTGTGTTCAATTAACTGTAGCATCGTGAAAGATCCTTGATAAAAGCAAGAAGAAAAAGAAGTACCACATTAAAGGTCATGAGTTTTCCAAATATAGGTACTTACATGTGGGCATTAAGTGTCTGTTAACATGTTCCTCTGAGACCACAAACCCATGCACACATGCTCTTCTGTGAAGAGCAGCAAAAGGACATTTTGCTAATTTATATTAGCCTGAGATAAAAAAGCATAGCTATTTTATAATGCTCATGTTGCCCAAGACAAATTGCACCCTAACATTGCTTTAACAATGTTCAAAGATGTTCTCACCCTTTTCTGTTTCCTTCCTTGACTCCAGTGAGTGTTGGAATCCTTGGACACAGAGAATATCACAGCAGCTGCAGTACTGAGGGGCTGAGGGCAGTGCAGGTTGGCAGGAAGGCAGCTGAGGAAGGCATTATGGTTTTGTCCAAGGCATGAAACCTGTGGGCCATTAACTGTGCTGGCAGCAAGAAAACAGTTGATTGTGGGAAGGAGAGTTTAGACCTGGCTAGGTTTTAATTTTACAGCATTAATGACAAAACACTTTACCCATAGACACTTTTTTTTGGTGCTCTTCTGCTTACTTCTGCAAGGCTCACATTGGTTTTGTGGCTCACTGGTTTGTGTCCACCAATTAGACCATCAAAATCTTAAATTCTCACTCAGCTTAGTGCATTCAAGGAAGTCTCTAAAATTCTCCTGGCAAAACCCATGTTGTTTCCCATGCAAGCAGTGCCAAAATTAGAAGAGCTTGTTACAAGGTCTGAAGGAAGGCTGGCCCTGCTGGTCCTGCAGCCATGGATAATTCATTGAGGAGGGAGCACATGTCACTTCAGCGAAGGCCAAGAGGAGAAGGAAGGTGAGAGGTCAGACTTTATTTGGCCAATGTGAACTGATTCACTAATAAGAGAGCTGAGTTAGCCAGCTGCTCACAGATGAGAATAAACCTGACCCTCTCTCTCTCTGGAACTCAAAGTACCTCTGCAACACTATTGTTTCTCACAGCTCATATTTATAGGGCCTGTGTAACCACAATTTGTAGGTGATGGAAGAACGAGGAGCACAGCCACAAGCAAGCAATGATTTTTGACAGACAGATTTCATTCAAGCTCTGATAATAGATGATATAGCTCCTATTAGGACATTCTCCTGGAAGGTAGTGGGACACCCAGAATTATTTCTGCAGCCTGTGCAGAGCATGAGAATATACTAATTTTATTAAACAGATCCAAGAACTCACCAGCAGAATGAAGCACCCCTACATTCTACTTCCTGAAGTTCAGGGGAGCAAGAAAAACAAAAGCAAATTCTTTCTTAAAAGCGTCAGGATGAATGTCTCGTTAGGTCTCTTGTGGAAGTTGTCCCAGAACTGTGTTGCTTTCCTCAGTCTGAAATCTGAGTAACCCTCTCTGCAAAATCTTTGTTGAATCAAAACCAAAACCACTAACTTCTGCTAAAGATTATACTTGGTAGAATAAATAGGCTGTGATGCAAGTATTTGAATGCCATTTCTAAAATATTCTTTTCCTTGAACCATGTCTATTTTATTAAGAATAATGATCTTTGTTTTTCAATGTAAGATTAAAACATATAAAACATTGCTCAAGTTACAAATTAGGTACAGAGGGTTCAGCAGCACTCAGGAGGCCAA